TTCCCTAAATGAAAACACAAAGACAAAATCTCTTAAAGCAAGAGTCATTTAAAAAACCAAATTACCCCAAGAAAGGGACACGCTGCCTTATCTTCACACTGCTCAAGACAAATGATACTGAACAATACATCAAAATATCAAAATAGAATAATAAGATGGAAATTCCAAAATGATACATCTCATTATTGTTGACCCTACAACACAACTATGCGACATTGTGGTCGAGGGGGCAGCGACTGTTGAAAAATATCAAGCAGTGTGAAAATGGCTTTATAGTAATTTCACATTTGCAAACACAACAATTTAATCAGCCCTTAAAATAGAGCAAGAGATCAGATCAGATGGAAAACATACTTAACAAATATTCAACAAATCCTGAGTTTAGGCAGCTGTAATTATGAGCTCAAAGGAAAAGCCACTGAGGGCCCCATTCTCACATGTTCATGGTTTTAAAACCATTTAGGGAAATGTTTCTCAAAATGTGGAAACATTCAAAGACAAACCAGACTGTGTACATGATAGAAAAAAAAAGACTAAGTCAAAGAAGTTTGACTTTTCCACTAAAAGAACTCTCCACAGGGAACAGGAACCTTTTGGAATGTGTGGAGTTCTTCTACCTGCGTTTCCACCAGAGGAACCAGGGTCTAAATTCAGCTCTGGGGTGCAGTTCTACCACCTGCAAAAAGTCTCTAGTCAGGGGCAATACTTTCTGAAGTTATCAGGTGAGGCCTGCAGCACTGAACATTGCTGACCGGCCAAATACCGTGCAGCATTTACACACAGCGTTCCTAACACCTCGCTGCCGACTGTCACGCTTTTACGTCATGTATTGACTTATAGGCATTTTCACCCCAGGGAACATTCTTGGACGATAGTTCCTGGGAACAGAAAGTACCAGGAACTTTCTGGTGGAAAAAGGCACTTTTCGTGAACTTGAGCTTCACTCCCTGTCTTGGAGCTTACCCCAGACTGAGAGGCTGACACGTCTGCCAGTCACCCATCCAGATGGCCGAGTCGATCCTTTTTGTTTTCGTGGTGTCAGAAACATTCCGAAACTGCTGACCTTTGACCTCTAGCTGCTGTTACCTACTCACAGTTCTGTCACCCATCCATCACTGCTGCCCTGTGGTGCATCATTACACCTATCACTCACTGTCAATACATTCATATCCTTTTTTCTTCCTGACTTTTCCGTCAGGGCTTTTTGCTTCTCAGTTACTGTAGGTGGGCATGGACAAAGTCACCTGATTTATTGTTGCTTATAAGGCAACGAGAGAATAACACACAAACGCTCACACACAAGCCCAAAATCGCATCTGTACATGCAAGACATGCACACACACGTGCACCTATGAAGGCATTTTATTTGTAATAATTGCACAGACTGACACCAAGAAGCAGTAGCTAGATAAAATTTATCAGGAAATATTAAAAAAAACAAAAAATGAAGAAAGTTATAAGCAAAAATCTGATGGTGGATGGATAAACATATATAACCACACAGCTTTGTTGCTTCTTTAGACACATAGGTTTGACAGATACACATTTTAGTCATTGAAGCTGCTGACAGTCAATATTTATGAGAGATCATCACACACACACACACACACACACACTGCATGCCTGAACTGACTCACCTTGCTGCCAGGTGGTGCAGGAGAGAGGCTGAAGGGGCTGGCTTTCATTGGCTGGACCTGCAGCAGAGCATACAAGTTTTAAGAAAAGCATCACATCCACATCATCATCCCACGATAGATTCAGATGAAACATTGTCCTATAATCTGTGCAAACACCTGCAGTGAAACAGCGCCACAGCTACCCCCTCAGACAATGGGCCGCAGAGGGGGTGGAGTGTAGATGAGCTGATTTTGAAATCAGTGATTCACACTTGATCACTGACACTGCTTGACCCCAAAGATTCTGAGTGTTAATTTTGGTCAAAAACTCTTTGTCTGCAGTTAAATACAGTGGAAAGAAAAAGTCATGGCACTCTGGTGAAGATCAGATCACATTTCATGACCATGTTATGCAGAAAACCAGGAAATTGCAAAGTCACAAGCACAATATTTCTAAGCTGATAAAAAACAAAGAGTCCTGATTCTTTCATGTTTTTATTGATCACACATATTAAACATACAAAGTGATGGTGGAAAAGGTCATGACAACAGTGTTTTAATAACTGGTTGAACCACTTTTGGCAACAACAACCTCCAGCCAGCGATTCCTGTACCTGTGGATCAGACCTGCACAATGTTCAGGAGTTTTGGACCCGTCTTCCTGACAGAGCTGCTTCAGCTCAGCCATACTCTTAGGACGTCTGGTGTGACATCTTGAGGTCATTCCACAGCGTCTCTATTGGGTTGAGGTCTGGGCTCTGACCGAGCTGCTCCAAAAGGAGGATTCTGTGTCTCCGAAGCCATTCTGTAGTAGTTACTCTGATGTTTACGGTCATTGTCCTGCTGCATCATGCAACTTGTTCAGCTTCAGCTAGCCGACAGCCACCTTGACATTATCCTGTAGGACACCTGGATAAACTGGGGAATTAATTTCCCCTCCACAGTGGCAAGTGGTCCAGGTCCAGAGGCAGCCCCACATCACGATGTTCCTCCACCGTACTTCACTGTTGGGATGATGCTTTCATGCTGACACACAGTTGTCTTTTCATGCCGTATGTAGTGCTGTGTGTTCTTCCCAGACAGTTCTACTCTGGTTTCATCTGTCCACAGGACATTTTCCCAGTAGTGCTGTGGAGTGTCAAGCTGGTCTTTGGCAAAGTTCAGGTTGCTGCAGTGTTGTTTTTTGGAGAGTAATGGCTTCCTCCATGGTGTCCTGCCATGGATACCACGCCTGTTCAATATTTTGCATATGGTTAACTCATGAACAGAGATGTTAACCAGCTCCAATGAATCCTTCAAGTCTCTAGCTGTTTCTCTAGGGCTCTTCTTTACTTCACTGATCATTCTGTGTTTTGCCTTTGGAGTGATCTTGGCTGGGTGCCTACTTCTATGAGAGTAGCCACAGCACCAGATCATCTCCATTTATAGACAGTATGTCTAACTGTGGACTGATGAAGATCTAAAGTCTGTGAGACGACTCTATGACCCTTTCCAGCTACATGTAAACCAACATCTCTTGATTGTAGGTCTGAGATCTCTTTTTTGTGAGGCCTGGCTCACATCAGCTGATGCTGCTTGTGAACAGCACACTGACACTGTTTGAGTATTTTTATAAGTCCAGGTCGTTCTAAACCACACCTCCACTCTCATTTCATTGACTGGACTCCAGGTTTGCTAACTCCTGACTCCAGTTGACGTTTAGTGACATCAGAATACTCGTGCTGCAATGACTTTTTCCACTATCGCTTTGTTTAGTGGTTTTATGTTTAATGGTTCAATAAAGACATGAAGGGCCATGACTTTTTGTGTTTTATCAGCTTAGAAATATTGTGCTTGTTGATATTTGTGACTTTGGTGAAGATCTGATAACATTCCATGACTAATTTATGCAGAAAACCATGAAAGTGCAAACTGTGCCATTAACATTTTGATTAACTGTATGTATTACCAAGGAGACAAGTTTTCCCTAAAACACTAACAGCTAATCATATAGCTGAAATGATTTGTATCTGTCTCATTTTTTTAGTTACTTTCATGTTGATGTTCACAATCAGGGAGGATGATTTGAGAAGGCATAGCGTTTACTACCCCCTTTAAGATCTGAGCCATCCTAATAATGAACAGCTTACATTAAATGTTATTGTGACGATTTGATGCAGATTGTTGCTGTAATTAATATATTTACATATAACAGATATGAAATAGATGCTGCATTGTAATACAGTATATAGAATAAAACAAATAACATGCATTATTCAAAACAAAAGACATAACCTTTAAAATAAAATGCCCTACTTACTTTAGTCATAAGCTGGATAAAACAGGTTGAAATGAGCTGAGGGTAAAGTCACTAACAGGCTTGGTATAATTAGTTAAAAGTTAAGATGGAATGTCAAAACCAACCTGGTCGTCAGGGCTGTTTCTGTCAGAGTCTGAAACACAGAGGGACATATAAAATGTTTATTGGACAGCATGTCTGTGAGTGTGTTCACTATAAATTACCCATCTGGTTATTTGAAGGACATAATATGGAAAATATGACAGGGTGACAAGATGGTAATCTAAAACTACTCTCAGAAATAGATCAATTCATCAACACGTCTGTTTAAAAACACTGAAATAAATTATACTGAACATGATTGAAATACAACATGTAGTTATTATTATTATTCATGTGATATAATATGTGGATGTGTTTGTACCTGAGCTGTCCCCTGGATACTCAGCCCCAGGCTTACCCTCCTCTGCTGCTTTAGACATCCTGATATCTGCAGGAAACACACACAAAGACACATCAGAAGGAAGCATGGAAAACACAGTCCACGTGCATAAGATGTGGTTAGAAAAGCAGAGATGTTGGTTTGAATCCCCGGTCGACGGGGGACAAACACGCTCTCAGCAACTACATACGCTATCCAAGTACAACTGACCATGGTACTGTGGTTTAAAACCGTGGAGAAAACCGTGGACACGCTGTGACACACACAAAATACAAATGCTGATAAGTATGAACGTATCAGGAGTTAAAGCAGAAAAATCTTTTTTCTCTGTTTCTCCATTTGTTCATTATGTAAAAAAACTATGAAAACAAGACTGTTGAGGAGAACAAGAAATGTAAAATCACAAGTAACATAACTGACTAAGTTATAATTTAAATAATTTTTAGAATGTTTTAATAATAATTCTAAAAACATTTTTAAGAATTATTTTAATAATCCTAGCCATTTTAACAATTATAACATATGTACGTAAACACACACATACACATAAATAAAAGACTAAAGATAAAGAGTAATACATGAAGTTAATATTTCATTCAAGACATTTGGTAGGACAAACTTAACATTA